GCGCTTCGCAAAACGAATTTCCCTATGGGCTTGCTTCGCAAGACGACAGCCCATAGGGAAATCTCTGGGACAGCGGGGAAGCGCAGCCGGGCTTCGGAAGGCTCCTCCGAAGCCGGGCGGCGGGGCAGGAACACCTCCCCCCACCGCCCGGCTTCGGAACGATGCTCCGAAGCCGGGCGGCGGGGCAGGAACACCTCCCGCCGCCGCCCGGCTTCGGAACGATGCTCCGAAGCCGGGCGGCGTGCGGAGAGGACCTCTTCTGAAGGCGGGTGGGGGGGCGAAAATCTTTGCTCCCCCCCGCCTGCCTTCAAAAGCCGTCCAGGACAGCGGAGAAACGCGCTGCCTTTCTCCGCTCTCCCGGGAAGGCAGGCAGGGGGGAGCAAAGACTTTCGCCCCCCGCCCGCCTTCCCAGGGGCTTTTAAGATCGCCCCGGACAGCGGAGAAGTCCTCCGCTGTCCCGTGGTTTTTTTAAATGCTGGGGGTGGGAAGAAAAGCCCTTGTCCCCCCCCCCAGCCTTCAGAAGAGGTCGGGGGACAGACTGTCCCCAGACCTGGTCTGAAGGCGGTTTCCATAGGAACGCATTAATTGATTTTCAATGCATTCCTATGGGAAACAGTGCATCGCAAGACGAAAAACTCGCAAGACGAAGAGACTTGCGGAACGAATTAATTTCGTCTTGCGAGGCACCACTGTATATGTTTGCCATGCATGTGATATGGGATCATAACTGCTCAGTCGCAGAGTAGCTGCTAAATGGGACTGCTGAAAACAGTGTATGGCTGGAGAAACTGGCTTGCTAACAGGAGATTCTGTGCATACAGCTTTGTTTAGACATCAAACCATGCAAAACAGCCCTTAAGACTCCCCATCCCTTAATCAACTATGTGGAAATGGCACAAGGAAAGATGAAGGGACATCGTTTACGTATGGTCCATAGTGTGCATCGATGTTTCCAATAATGGGAGGGGGAGGATATGAATCTGTATATATCTGAAGAAGCTTAATGAAGTTGTAGCCCATGAGAAATATGTGCTACCATCACTAGAGGACTTTCTCCCAAAAGTGACAGGAAGCAAAGTATTTACTAAATTGGATGCCTCAAGCAGTTTCTGGCAAGCACCAAACACCAGAGTTATACACCAACGCCATCTATCACACTCTTCAACGCTTGCCATTTGGAATTGCAACAGCTTCTGAGATTTTTCAAAGGAAGATGACAGAACTTGTCCAAGGCATAAAAGGAGGTCTTCATGGATGACATCAATCAGGTACAGTATTGGAAGACAGATTGGGGACACGGGGACAGTCTTGACTTAGATCCATGAATCTGGACTCAAGGTAGACAGGGAGAAATGCGTTTTTCACGGAGGCAAAGTTCTTGCAACAATTAAGACATCCCAGGTGAAGATAAATGCTATCAGAGGCTCAAAAGCAGAACTACCACGCTTTTTTGGAAATGTGAATTAACTTGCTTGATATGTGCAAGACGACCCCGCAGAAGCACATCCTCTAAACCTATTACTGAAATCCATCACATCTTCGTTTGGGAGATCAGATTAGCAGGCTGCCTTTACAAAGATAAAGGACACGATCTCCACTGCCCCATGTTTGCAGTTCTATGATGCCAATATACACGGCACTTGTGCAAACAACCGCAAGCTAGGTAGAATACACGATTCAGAACGGATGCTAGCAACATTCTACTCCAGAACTCTTTACAAAGCAGAGAAACATTACAAAAAAACAAACCAACAAAACCTGAAGTGCCTAGCTAGTATTTTAACATTGAAACCCTTTTGCAGATGCTTGTTCCAGGCTCCTCACAGACCATAAACCCTTGGTGACCTTGATTAAAAGGAAAATAATTAGACCATGACGACACCAATGTCTTCTCGCAAGAATGATAAGATTCAACCCAGTAGCTGAATACATCACAGAAAGAAAAGTTGGCCATACCATAGCCAACACCTGCCAAAAAAACCCCTTCAAAACACAAGCAGAGTGTTACAAGTTAGAGAAGATTGCTAAGGTACTACATTCTTCCAGAACCTATCAGCATCTAAATGCAGGTTTCAGTAAATCCAAACAGCTACTTATGGAAATCCACAACCTTTTAATATATTTCAGATCAGGACAGCCTAAATATCCTGGTAATGCTTCAGAGACGACTGTTAAGTACTTTGTTGAGAATGGGCCACCAAGTGAATTGGAAAGTCTAATAAGGGAATAAAGTCTAATAATGTTGTTTATGAGGGAAGAAAAGGGCTGGAGCTGTGCAGGACATGAGAAATAATAAAATCTTATCCTGTGGCTATTACAGAAGAAACAGATCGACATCATGAAAGGAACCTTTTGTCTCTACACCCTGATTTTAGATAGACCTTGGAAAAGGTCCACAGCTGATCTAGGTGAATTGGGAGGTTGAGACTATTTGGTTTGTGGGGGCCCCTATCCCAGGTACAGCGAGATACTCTCCTTGTCTGCCGTTGCTCTGACATTGTTGCACAACTGAACAACACCCCAGTTCACTTTTGGCCTACCAGGTGAACTCAAGACCAACAGTGCAAAGCATTTTACAGCAGCAGAATTCCAGGCATGCTGGATATATTACCATATATTTTGCCATATTACCATCGGCCCTTGCTACCTTCAAGGAAATGAAAAAGCGGAGAGACTTGGCACACAGGACAGGAAACCTTAACATGACCCAAACATTGCCCTTTTTAGCTACAGAACTTGGGTTTTGGATACTCCACTGGATTTGGCTCAGATATATTGCAAATGGGAAGACAAATCGGAACACCCATTCCAACCTTGGGAAAAGTTGCTTCTTCAGTTTTCCAAGCTAACAGAAGTTACAACTGTGTTTCTAGGGCCGGTTCAATTTGGTACGAGAACTATATTTAGAGTTTATATCAAACTCAGTGAACAGGCCAAAGCTATAGGCTCCAGCTTCTACGCAAGGAGCATGGAGCACCCACAACATGTTCAAATTGAATGTGGAATACAAAAACTGGTGTTTTTCTCTACCCCCAAGAATGCAATTGGCCAAATGCAAGCTCACCTTTTCTGAGACACTACCAAAGCCATCTTGCAAGGCTCCCAGCAATGATACTTTGCAGACAATCACTCTCTTGGGTCAAGTTATTTGGAAATGTTTAAGATTTAGTGATGAATGACTAACATCAATCAATGACCTGATGTTTCAACAATGCTGACTTATTTCATTATTGTTCCTTTAAAACAAAGAGATCAAGATATGTGGATAGTGCCATTATTTAGTCTGGTCACTAGGTGGCCCTGGACTTAGTAGTATCTGGCTGCAGTCAGGAGTTTCTCTGTCTTGGTCTAAAGGGAGACAAAGTTTTCATCAAGCATCCTGCCTGGAGTGGCCTCCAAGGCTCCCATGTTTATATATGCAAAAAGAGGAAGTACCTCCTGACTCACAGCCTATCTTTGGAACTCACTGTCACAGGACGTTGCCACAAATGGCTATTTAAAGGAGTCTTGATAAATATATTGGGGGTGGGGGTGGCAGCAAGAACTAGTGATGTCCAGCTACAATAGCAAAACAACTGGCGATGGAGATCACCTTCTCACCCTGTTTGTGAAACTCCTGGAAGGTCAGCAAAACTGCAAACAAGCTGCCGTGCTAAACAGGCTCACCCCCAAGTAGCTTTGGAAAAGGTGCTGGAACAGCCCATAATTCCCCTACCTTCCCTTCTGGGTATTTACGCCTGTTTGGAGGAACGGAAGATGCCCCTGGCGAGGGCGTAGCATCTTTGCATCTAACAGAAGGTGGCAATTCCTCCATTTTGGGGGTCTTTCTTGCAGCTACCCAATTTTCTCACACACAGACACAAACACACGTGAGAAGCTTTACGGGGTCTAAATAAAACAGCCGTTCCACCGTGGCTACAATCTCCGAAGTCGAGTTGTGCGCTCTATCCGGGTTCCCAGCCAGGCACACCTTTGGCTTCGGAGGCCACCGCCGCTCCAACGGCCACGGCCAGGCAACAAGCCAAAGAAGCCGCCTTGCATTCCCATGACGCCTTAGGAGGCAGGCACAGAAACAAGCCGGACTTGCGCTTCAGCAGCCCAGCCGATCACTCCGCCGGCTCTCTGGCGTTGGGTCAGTTCCAACTACCTGGCCAAACAGGGCCCGTTTGCACAAGCGATTTGCACCAAAACCCCTCCTTAGGCACAATGCTCTAAGTGAAGCCATTCCAAACGTGGCCCTGGCGGAGCAACCCCGGGCTCCCAACGTCCGTTTCCCCACGCCCATGTGTGTTTAAGACTCTTATCATTCAGATTAAAAAAGCGGGGGGGGGGAGGGAAATACAGGAAAATCAACAGCTCCCAGCTGTTTGGAAGCCCTGCAAAATTTCACCTGACCAGCCCACGCAGGGGAGCAAAACCCGCCCCCACTCCCCGGGCGCGCCACTTCCTCCAGTTTTAAAGATACGTGCTGGATGCAATTTAGTAGAGATTGGGGCGGGAGTGGGGGGGGGAGAGAGAGAAGTGGGGAAAACGCCAAATCAATCCTGCAACCACCATCCACGCCTTTTCCTCACCCGCCCGTCCCCCTCCAGCGCTGTACAAGACCCGTTTCCCTCCCCCACCCGCTCCTCCCCATTGCAAAGATTTCCCAGGCTTCCCACCACCACCCCACACCCCCTTTGCAAAGCGATCGATGCCCCCGTTTCCCCTGGACAGGTTACCCAGGCAAATCCCAGGCTCTACAGAGGCCCATCGGAGCAGGAGGATTCAGCAGTCCTACCAGACGCCCTCCCCAGCAACCCCTCCAAGTGTCCCCTCCTCTCAAACGAGCTCCTCTTAAGATCCCTCCCGCACATCCACAGCTGAAAGCCGGGGGGGGGAGGGAGAGCGCAGACACAGAACGGCCCCTTCCTTTGCCATCCTTGCAAAACTCTGATTTCGAGGGGGTGGGGGTAGAGGAAACAAAAGGAAGACCCAGGCGCTCTTTCGATCCGAATTACCATTGCATCCAGCCAGCAGCGGCCCCGATCCTGCTGCTCTCCGGCTTGCGTATGACAAAGGCGGACGTAGCAGCTTCTTTTCCTTCCCTGCTTCGGCGGCTTTTGTTCGTTCCCGGCCCTTTCTCTCCAGCCACCCAAACTGCCTGCAAAATTCCAATTTTCTCTCTCTCTCGGGCGTCTCCTTCCGTTTTCCATGCAATTACAAAAAAAGGAAGAGGGGGAGGAAATCCAATTCGAAAATGTGTCAGATAGAAAGGGGAGAGGGGAGCGGGGAGCACAAGGATTCAACAAGCCTGCGGTCCCTCGCCTTGGGAAAAGGCGAGAAGTCGTTGCAAACAGCCGCACCGCCCACACTGGCAGCTCCGGATCCACTCCTCTCCGGCGTCTCCCGGCGTGTGAACAGGAGAGGATTCGAACCTGTGGACGCTCCGCGGCTGTTCCCAGGCCCGCGCGCGCCTCCCTCCGGCGCTTCCATTGTCTCCGCCGCGAAGTTCCCAGTGCCTCCACTCTCCCGCCCCCCTCCCGCCCCAATTAGTTTTATGGTTTACTGTTAAAGGGAAAGGAAGACAGAAAGTCGGGTGGGCGGGGGCTAAACTTCCTTCTCCAGGCTTTTGACCCTTTCCAAACGCTTTTAAAATAAAAATAAGAGAGAGAGATGTCTAGGAAATAAACTGGAGACGACCTAGGCAGGAGCCAAACTTAAAAAGCACCCAGGGAATTGCTCCTGTACCCTGTTTAATTTTACATAGGGCAGCTCCATATATATACTTTTGTACAGAGGGGCTGTTGTGTCCAAGTCTGTCTTCAGGGTAAATGACCATTAAAAGAAGAACAGGAGCCTTGAAATTACCTATCAATAGTTGGTAGCATTTGCTCAGCAGCCTGAGCAGGTGCCCCTGTCGCCTGGTGTCAATGGATTGTACTGTGCATCTATTTAAAATATGGAACTCAGGCCCACTAGAGAGATGTAATGATAGCCACCAACTTGGACTGGTTAAAAAGAGGATGGAAATATTCATGGAGCAGAAGTCTTTCAATGGGCAATTGACCACAATGGCAGTGATATGCCAACAGGGTTGTGTGAATGCTGGAAGCCACAGGAGAGTGCTCTTGTGGTCAGATCCTGCTTGTGAGTTTAGCGTTGGAGCATCTGGTTGGCCACTCTGAGAACAGGATGCTGGACCAGATGGGCCATGGGCCTGATCCAGGAAGCTGCTCTTTGTGTTCTTTTCCTAACAGAGAAACACATTGAATTAATCAACAACAACCAGGTTCATTCATTTCAGTGGGTCTACTGCGATTAGGACCCAGCTGAATCTCATCAACAGTAAATTTGATTTCCAAATGTGTACTGTATCTCTTTATCGCATGCAACTTTTATGCAGATCCGTGTTCTCTTTTCTGGCAATTTATAACTAGCTAACCTAGTTTTACAGCACCTGTTTTGTTTTTCCTGGGGGAGTAGAATGGGATTGCGAGGGGTGGAATCTGAAGGGGGCAGGCTTGGGAATCCAAAATTTTATTCTTAGAATCTCTCTCCACCCCGCTCTCTCACACGATTTTGCTTCTGAAAGGTGACACTAGAGGAGGAGGAGGGCAAGCAGAAAGAAATTTAATTTTTTTATCATTGTTATTTTTAAAACCTCTGAAATAATGTTTAGTACCTGATCACAATTCAGTCTAACAACGTGATCCAAAAAGGTCATGTGTGCAGAAGTAAATCCCACAGGGTTCAGTGGGACCTACATAACTGCCAAATAAGTACAGCTATAGGAACACCTCTCCTGAATCAGAGTGAGGGCCTAATCCAACATCCTGTTTCCCAGTGACCAACCAGATGCCTTCAGAAAGCCCACATAATGCAATTGCCCTCCCCTGCTGTTTGCCTTTGACAAGGGGGTTCCACAGAAAGCACCAGATTTAGGGCGGTGCAGCAGTCTCCCCTCCCCACACAGGGTGCCGAATCGAGAAAGTGCTAAATTGAGAATATCCATAATCGAGAAGATCCATTTGGGGGCACCAAATTTTGGGCTTGCATGGCGCACCTTATTGCAAAAGATTGCCAAAGTCCGCCCCTGGGTTCTCATGGCTAATAGCCATGGGCAGCCCTGACCTCCAAGAATTCAATGGCTTTGAAAGCCAATCCTATGCACGGGTTCGCCAGGAGAAAGCCCTGTTGAACACAGTGGGATTTTCTTCTGAGTAAACATGCAGAGGATCACACTGCAAGCTAAACTATGTCTTTTTTTTTTAAAAGATATTTATTGAGATTTTAAACAATAAAACAAACTTCACAATCAAAACCAAAAAAAATAAAGGAAAAAAGAACATTATTACAATCAAATAAAAACAGAAAAATGCAATACAAAACATAAAAAGGTAGAAGAAAAGAGACATAAAAAGACATAAAAATCCAGTTTCTTACTTATTGTTTTCATAACCCTCCTTCCTGACTTCCTCACATCTCCCTTTTCTGTGTTCCCTTTTACACAATCGTATTCAGCAGTGCCTTACCCTTTTTCAAATCTTATTCTATGTTATACATTTCAACTATTATGTCTCCAATTTTTCCCTTTATATCATTTTGTTTAAATTTGACATAATGTTATTCTAGCTTTTTCACCCTTATTCTTATAAAACATTTTTTTACATATTCCTTTCAACTATGTCACTAATGCCATATTGTCTTTATATCCTGCATCGTTTTAGCATTCAAACATTTTGCAATGTTTTTGCAGGTAGTCTTTAAATTCCTTCCAATCCTCTTCCACTAGCTCTTCTCCCAGGTCTCGGATTCTGCCAGTCATTTCTGCCAATTCCATATAGTCTATCACTTGCATCTGCCATTCTTCCAGAGTGGGCAAATCTTGTGTCTTCCAGTGTTTTGCGATGAGTATTCTTGCTGCTGTTGTTGCACAAGCTAAACTATGTCAAGCCCGTGACTTACAGTTCAGCTGTGTGGCCGGGGCCTAGAAATGTTTACTCAGAAGTAAGTTAAACAGACCAACAGTTTATGGCAGATATAGGCAACCTTGGCCCTCCAGATGTTTAGGGACTACAATTCCCATCACCCCTGACCACTGGCCCTGTTAGCTGGGGCTCATGGGAGTTGTAGTCACAAAACATCTGGAGGGCTAAGTTTGCCTATGCCTGGTTTATGGAGTTCTAGGAGCCTAGGAATGGGACGCGGGTGGCGCTGTGGGTAAAACCTCAGCGCCTAGGACTTGCCGATCTCATGGTCGGCGGTTCAAATCCCCACGGCGGGGTGAGCTCCCGTCTTTTGGTCCCAGTTCCTGCCCACCTAGCAGTTTGAAAGCACCCCTAAGTGCAAGTAGATAAATAGGTAGCGCTTTCTAGCAGGAAGGTAAACGGCATTTCCGTGTGCTACGCTGGTGCTGGCTCGCCAGAGCAGCTTCGTCACGCTGGCCATGTGACCCGGAAGTGTCTCCGGACAGCGCTGGCTCCCGGCCTCTTAAGTGAGATGAGCGCACAACCCTAGAGTCGGACACGACTGGCCCATACGGGCAGGGGTACCTTTACCTTTTAGGAGCCTAGGAAGGCATGTGACATCTCTGATCCACCCAGCACCTCCTGCATCAGCCACCAGGGCCAGGACTGTGTGATACAGCAGCCGCCGCCCAGTGCAGCTGCCTCAACAGCCAGGAGATTCAGCTACAGAATAGCACTTGGTGGAACACCAGAGAACAAGGTGGTGGTGCTATTGTGGCTGTTTTATTGTGTTTTAAATATACTGTAAGCTGCCCTGAGAACTTCGGTTAGTGGGCAGAGTATAAATACAAATCCTAAATAAATAAAATGCAGTCACCTGATGGCCTTCATTACTATCCTTTCGGTGCCAGGCAAGGTCCATTTGTGGTTCTGATATCCGGCTGCTGATTTTCTCCTCCATTTTCTTTCATGCTGCTCCAAGAACCTGCATTTTATTATGTAATTCTGAGTATTGTCATTATAGAATTGTTTAAATTTTTTAACGTTGCATAGATATTACGTTGCGGCATTTGCGTTGTCTTTTGTAAACTGCCTTATCGTCTTCTGAGGAAGGACAGTATAGAAATAAATTTAATAAGTAAGATAAATAATAGCCATGCATGCACATGAACACTAAGCCTCCTGCAATGTGCGTCCTGCAATTTTTGCACAGCACCACAGATGCTGGAACTGTTCACATTTGGAACTGTCAGGCAATGATACTTTTCCAAATGCATTTTTTTTTAAAGCTCTCTTGGATTTTGCATCAGGCAACAGGTGACAATGAGCCATCAGCAATGTGTGGAATTGATGGAAAGTTCACATTCCCAAAGTGGTTCTTGGAAAGAAAATTGGTGTGTTGTGAGCTTGACCCTCTCCTGGTCCGTGAAATGCTGGATTGCAACACAGCTCTTCCCCCCACCCCACCCCACAGTCCAGTGGACCACCCAAGCTATCTCCGAGACAGAGTCATTATATATGTTTGGAATTTGCCTTACCCTGCCCCCTCCCTCTGCAATTTGCCCCATTATTCTAATTGAGGTTGAATTTTGCGCCTGGCGTTCCACAAATGCCACCCACCAGGGCAATGAGATAATTGCCAGGTTCAGGTTTGTGGTCATTACAGCATCCCTGGTCAAGTGGGCGGCCTAGAACTGCCACCTCTCATTACCTACCCTCCTGCCCTGAGCCCTGCGGATCATTCACCCCCTCACTCTGTTCAGTGGGGCCTTCGGGGGCCAGGGCAGGAGGGAGGATCCGAGGAGATTAGGCAGAAAGAGAGCGGAAATGGTGGGTGAAATGTAGCAAATGAGAACCTTGAACTGAGGAAGGAAAAGGAGATCTGAGAGACCCCAAGGAAGACGTCTTTGCTGGCCTTGATCTCATGGTGGCCTGGAAGGGGGGGGGAGTCCTGGAGAAAGCACGCTGATCTCTTGCCACACCCTCATTCAGAGATACAACACATCTCCTGTGTGGGTACTTTTAGGCACACAGGAACCTGTACACTTCAAATTACAGTATTCTATTTCTTGAAGCACGAAGTGAAGTGTGACCTTAAAGCATGGGGGGCTCACCCTTTTCGGTCCCTACCAGGGAAGCTGCCATTTTCTAATTCCTAGGCCTGGAGGGTCCATTTAGCCATCATGGCTAGAGGAACCCATTGATAGACTTTTTTTATTAATCTGCTTTAGGGCCATTTAAGCTACATCTTCCAGCAGTGAGTTCCACAGGTAATATTTATGTGTGAAGTATTTCTTTGGACTGTCCTGTACTGGTTTGTTTGCGAATCCATTTCATCCAGTGACTCTGATTCGTAGTACTCTGATTTGAGGAGCAGGGGTGAGGAAGGGAATCCAACAATCCACTTTCCCTTGTGTACCACGCAGAATTTTAACAGACCTCTCACACATTTCCATCGTTTTAGCCATCTTCTTTCTAACCCAAGGCCACTTCCAGACAACCTTTTTTACT